TTCCTTAGCAGTGGGAAGGTTGCTAAAGGGCCTGACTCAGTGCTCAGGTGCACGGGACCAAAATTCCAAGTAAATCCATCTCCTTGTGCATAAAGTTTGTACAGAGTAAGCTCATAAATTGTTTGCCCCCTTAATCAATGGAAGAGAGATGCACAGTTGTTGTCCCCCACCATGGTAGCAATTTATTTTTCCTGGATTTATTAATAAATAAGTCTTGACTGAACTGTGAATTTAAAATTACATTCGAGCATCCTTAGAACCTGCTTTTATCTGTTTGTTCCTTATTTAAAGATGGCCTGGTTCTAACTTTTCAGGACTTCCTTCCTTTGAAAATTCAGTTGCAAATGGATAGGCTCTTTGGAAGAGAGTTTGAAAGGATGTTTATATTCCAACAGTTGGTTGGTGAGGTTCACCGTGTCATAGGATACTGGAATGGAGCATGTGACATTTTTTCTTTAGGGGAACATACATTTTGTGCTCTGCTTCATCAGACAAGTAAAAATACCATGAGGTGCAGGTGTCTGTTTTACTCTTGACACCTATTATAGTGATTTTTTTTTATAATGTTCTGTGATTTGGGAAGGGGAAGTGGATGTGCAAGTTGTAAACATAAATAGGATGCTCATTGGGATAATGACTCTAAAATGGGGAAGTAACTTTTCTCAGTTAAATGGTCTTCCAGGACAATATTTTGTAAGAACGTCTTGCATATATTGGCTGGCAAAAGATAACCATAAGATTCAATGAAGGAGATTATCTAGGTCTGGTACTCTTCATTGTTGGTAGTTGTATTGCAAGTAGCCTGCACAATTTCTTGTTTCCTTCTGGGTTTCGCATTTATCCATTTCGTTACAGTTTCCAGCTGATGACAGACATGACTTGTTTTAACTCCTGACTTGTGTTCACTCTCATGACAGTAACAAAGATAATAGATTTTGCTTTTTATGTCTTGGGGTACAGTTTTAAAGATATCTCTAAAGGGGATGGCATGGGGTCCTGGGATGGAGTAACTTAACTTGTCTTGGAATCTAAGTCTGATACTAATGTAATATACCCTTCCCCCTTACAGATCTTTCTTTTGATAATAAAAGCTGCAGAAATGAAGGTCAGAGGGTAACAACTGTGGAAAAAAAACAGAGCACATAAGGGTCTGCTCTGCTTCAAGGTAACTATAATAATAATTTTTACTTCCATGTGACCCGGGCCACAGTATTCAGGGTGATATGATTTTAAGGCTGGAATTTTTTTCAATTGTTGTTAGGCATACAGCAGGTCTACAGGGACTTATGGTGAATCTTGCTTCTGGTGTTGAGGCATGGCATAGGCTTTTTTGTGGTAGTGATGGGAAATGAAACATTGATTATCTTAATTGCAGCTGTGTACACAACTGAATTTGTCACATCCTCCCAGGTCTGGTCTACACTTAAAACTTTTAAGCCAGAATACTCTTGAGTGCCATATTTAAATTGGCCCATTCCCAGGTGTTAAATATAACTAGGTCAGTGGAAGAATTCTTCTGTTGATCTAGTTGCTGCTTGGAAAGGGGGGGATTACCTACATTAACAGGAAAAATTTTCAGTGCTGCAGTCATCTGGCTATGTTCTGTTGCTGTGTTGCTGTAACACCTGTAGCATAGACATGGCCTCAGTAACCTTGTGTTTACTTAATAATTATTGAGTCAGTGTTGTACTACCTATGGTTATAACTTGCACCTCTGCTGGCTCTTTCTTACTAGTCATGTGCCAGAGCCCTAATCCTTTTTGCTAGTCCTGTCCCTGCCAGTGCTCCTATTTGACCTTTACTTACTCAGTTGTCACATAGCCTCATCGAAAATTTGGGTTGGAAGAGACTTCCGGTGGATTCTAGTCCATTCCCCTACTCAGAGCAGGACAAACCCGAACTAAATCATTCCAGCCAGGGCTTTGTCAAGCAGTTTTCCTAGGCAACCTATTCCAGTGCTTCACCACCCACCTAGTGAAGTAGTGTTTCCTCATATCTTAGACACCCTACATATCTAACTTTGAGACTATTGCTCCTAATTCTGTCATCTGTCATTACTGAGGATAACCTAGTTATATGCTCTTTGGAACCCCCTTTCAGGTAGTTTGAAAGCTGCTGTCAAATCCCCACCCTCCTCCTCCTCCCTTCTGCAGACTAAATAAATCCAGTTCCCTCAGCTCGTCTTCATAAATCATGAGTTCCAGCTCCCTAAGCTCATAATTTGGCTTCTTGGTTACTAGCAGCTACAATAAAGTTATTTGGCCATATGAAGTAGGGATGTAAAATCCCAGTTAACTGACTTAAATGGGATCTCACCAGTCCAGCCTTCCAACCCTTGGAGCTTCCTCTGTACCCCACACTGGGGCTTGGGCTGGTTCTGCTAGCTCCTAGCCCCTGCACTGGGGCTGGCTGATGTGGTTACTCCTGGATCATCGGTTAACCAGAAATGTCAATGGAAATATGAAAAACAGTTAGAAAAGTGTAAATACAGCATTGTTAGCCTCTTAACTATTCAAATACTTAATGCTACTTATTTAAATATAATCTGCGAAGGAGAATTTGGGTTTGTTAATCTCGGCTGTATAAATGTGGCTGCAAAGGAATAGGTGTGTTTAAATTTCCACTTGCATTTTTACATTAGCAGTTATTTATTATAAAGGTCTTTACTTCCCTGTTGCTCGAAGATGTTAGAGAACTATCTGGGTTATATTACTACTAGAGCCTGAAACCTGGGCTTTTGCAAAGAGCTGAGATTTTTTGTTCAGACAGTTGAATGTTCTAATTTCAGTTTAATGCTTAGTTAACAAACACCAGAAAGAAAAGATCTCAATGAAAGCATCAGTAATCTACCTCAAAGTACAGGGCTAGTAGTCAGTGCTACAGAGACTTTGCTGGTAGAACTGTGCAGTGGCTATGCAGCATATACTGTGAAAAGGCAAGTATAGTTGTCAGAATAATTAAACTATCTCCCTGAACGACTGTTGTTGGTTAGGAATGTGTGGCTTTTTTGCTCTCCTAACCAGTGTAGTTATGCCAGAAAAACAGTTGGATAGATCTACTTTTATACACTCATGTTCTTCTTGGGCATTTAGAGAATAAGGATGACTATTTAATATTCCTGATATTTCCTAGGTAAAACAAAAAATTGCTTTGGGGGGGAAATAGTCTGCTTCTTTAGGGTTGAAGAAAGGAGAACAGGGGACACTTTCTACTTTTTTCCTTTGCAGGTCATCTTTTAATGCTGCCACATAATTTAAATCCAGTGCAGTGCAAAATAATGGGGGCTGTTCCAATTGTGAGTATAGAGGAACCTGGAAGAATTTATTTAATGAGGAACCTAGAAGAATTTATGGCAGTATTCGTGAAAATTTGTTAGGGGCTCAGGAAAGCTTCTAAAAATATTTAACATGTGTACGTATGGAAGAGTTTAGCGTGGCATGGTCCAAGTGTGGAAAACTGGGAACAGTGAGATGAATTGGAGTAAAATTAAATTTAATAAAGAAACTTCTAAGCAGCCAGGTGCATTAAGGTGGAATAGGCTTCTTTGGAACGAGTGGGTAAGTGCCATTGCTAAAGATTATACAAATCACTCTAATACTATTGGGAGCTGCCCTGCATGGGCCAGAGCATAGGCAAGGTGACCTCAAGGGACTTGTGAATGTCCCCTATTTCTGAAGTTTCTGCCACGATCACAAAACAGTCTGTATCACTTGGTGCAAAATGACCTTGATAAAATGTGATTTGTAAGCACCTGAATGACCTCTCTAAATATGTAGAAGAAACTCTGCAGGTAACTGTAGATATCAGTTTTCACATAATTATGTGAGCAAGTATTAAGGATTCTAATAAACTATTACAGTATGAATATTAAATTTGTTCCAGACAATGCAGCCTGGCAGGTGACATGAATGCTGTTCTCACCAGCTGCCAAAATCGGTCAGATGGAAAAGTAATCCTGTTTGTGCTTCCCCACTAACACATATTGCATAATTAAAATAGATCTGCTGTGAATTTAAATTAGTTTTGTATTTTGCTGCTACTGTTTATGAGGTTTAAAGCTGTATAGTAAGGTGGAATTGTGCTGATATTTGCTTAAATGTTAGAACTGTTGGACATCAATGCATACTTCATGTTGGGTGTATGAGTAGATTTTTATATAATCCTACAGCAAATTCAGCCCATCCACTTTAAGGGATCTTGAAGAAATTGATGATGAAACTGCATACATTATCATAGCAGTTGATCATTTAGTCTTACCTTCTCTATAACGCTGGCCAGAGAAGTTACCCAAAATAATTCTTAGAGGATAGTTTTTTAGAAAATACCCAATCTTGATATAAAAATAGTTAGTGATGAATCCACCATAACCCTTGTTCCAGTGGTTAATCCTGATCACTTTTAAACATTTATGCTTTACTTCCAGTCTGAATTTAGCTTCCACTTCTGGTCATTGGATCACATTCTCTGCTAGATTAGAGCCCTGCATATTCAGACATCTACTTTGCATCTGTGGATGTGGATATCTGCGGCTCATTTTTGCAGATGTAGATGCAACATTTTGTATCTGTGCAGGACTCTACCCATTATTAAACATTTGTTTTCACTGTAGGTATTTATAGATTGTAATCAAATCACCCCTTAATTTGTTGCAACACACAAACAGCAACCCCAGAATTGGTAGATGGCACAATGGGTGCTGCCAGTATTCTTGCCGCAGAGGCTACTGGGACCCATGGGCACCCTAAAGATGCCAATAACCGCACCTGCAGCAGACCCTCCAGGTACCAAGGGTGCAGCCAGCCAACGCGAACTTGTGTGGACACGCTAGTTACCGCCCGGGCAACGCTGACAGCGAGGCATTAACGGAGAAAGTGACACAAGATTTGCTTATCCCTCCTAACACGTCGTGTTCCATGATGGGTGACCACACTCCCCCAACATCACCACTCAGAGGGGACTACTATAAAATGTTTCAGGACCTGTTTGCAGGGTAGTGGACACACTAGAAATACAACTCACTGACATGATGCAGAACAAGCATAAACTTACCAACATACTCAACTTTCTTCAGCACACTAAATTGGCATTGCCGATGAATGAAGCCTTAATGGACCCAACTAGGGTTTTATGGAAGACCCCAGCATTGGTACCATCGACTTCCAAGAAATAGATAAGCAGTACTACAGGGGGTTAGAATTCCTATTCTCGCACCCTCCCCCCACCTCATTGGTGGTCGACGCTGCCAGACAGAGGGATATGCAACCCAGAATGCAGAGTCATGACAAGGAGATAGAGGATGGATAATATGGGGGAAGAAAGCATATTCATCAGCATCCCTACAACTTCAAATTGCTAACTGTGTCACATTAGACATTCAAATCCTTCAGTTCCTTTATTCAGTATCTCCCAGAGGATGTAAAGAAACAATTTGAGTGAAACCTGACAGAAGGCTCTCTGATCTCCCGCACAGCATTGCAAACAGCATTGCATGCTGTGGATACAGCAGCCAGGTCCATGGCAAATACAGTGGTGCTGAGGAGAATGACATGACTGCAACTGTCCGGGTTCCCCAAGGAGGTCTAATCCAACATCGAGGACCTTCCATTCGAAAGGGAGAAACTCTTTGCAGAGGCAACAAATTCATTGCTCAAAACTATCAAAAGACTCTACGGCGACGCTTCACATGTTAGGGACTCCACTGCAGGGATCCAAGAAGAAACATTACAAACCATATAATCAAAGGTTCAGGACACCAGGGTACACCCAACAACGAAGGCCCTATGAGAACAGGAGACGTCCAAAACAATCCCGACGGAAGACAAGCAAACGAGCAAACATCCTCAACCTGGGGTCCAAATCTTGTCTGCAGATTTGAGATGTTGGTTGAGGGTACAATGGCCCTCAATCCTCCAGGGCAGGCAGATCTAGGAAAGCAAACATTTGGAAACAGACTTGCCGCATTCTATCCAGCTTGGAAAACCATGGGTCCTAGAAATAGTACAAACAGATACTGCATGCCATTCACAGCAGTTCCTCCTACCCCATCCCTCTTCAGGGACTCCTCTCACAAGAGTATCCTTGTGGAAGAGGCTCAGAGCCTCATGAAGCTAGGTGCTATAGAGGAAGTACCCAGCCAATACAGACACAGGGAATTCTATTCCAGAT